CTTCTCCTTTCTTCTACTATATATATATATATATATATATATATATGACCTTGGCTGGCATGCATCATCCTTCTCAGGAAATGGAGGGGTGCCAATCCGTATATATGTACAGTGACTCTTATGAAAGGCAGGAGTTTGTGATCTACGGATGCTTGATTTTTTGTTTTTTGTATTTTATTTGATTTTTTCCCTTTTTCTTTGCTTTTTTTTGTAACTGCTGCACGGTTCACTCGTAATGCTTCCTCTTCCTTTTCCTTTTTTGTCTTGCGTCATCTTTATTCTTCATAGGTTTATTCACATACTGAGCGGGTGCGTCGTAACGCACTTGGCTTTTGGTGTGCATATACATATATATACATATATATATATATATATATTTGTGTTGGTTGTGTGAGTTCTTTTACGGTTCGTTGTCCTGAAAAGTGTGACTGCCGTACATCTCAAATGGCACCCTTCGCAGCCTCCGGTATCTTTGTTGCCGTCGTTGTGGTTGTCGTCTCCGTCTGCGCGTTCCCGTTCATGGTCATACCAGTCGCCGCCCTCGCCGTGGTGCGGTTCACTGTGGGCTTCACTCCCACCGTCCTCAAGCGTTTTTGCGCCGCCTGGTGCGACCATGTGCAGGAGAAGTGGCTGGCGCTTGTGGTGGTACTCGTTGAGTGCGTGCTGAGGCTGCGCCTGGCCTACACAATTGTGTCAACGTCAGCGACATCTCCGTCGCAGCTCGCAGACGTCTTTGCGCCACCACAGCCTGGAAAGTGTAAACTTGTCATTCTCAACCACCGCTCTCGCATTGACTGGCTGGTGATGTTTCCATTTTTCGCGCGCGCGGGTGGGCTGCGGACGCTTCGCATTGTGCTGAAGGACGAGCTTAAGCGCATTCCCATATTTGGATGGTCTATGCAGACCTTCCGCTACATTTTTCTTTCCCGCGACTGGGCCAATGACGAGGCCACAATGCGTGGTTTGATTGCATACTACCGGGAAAGCGATGGTGCCACCATTATGTTCTTCCCCGAGGGTACAGACCTCTCTGAGAGCAACATTGAGAAGTCCAACGCCTACGCAGCACGGCACGGCCTGCCATGCTTCCACCACGTGCTTAACCCCCGTACCACGGGATTTATTGCAATGGCAAACATGATTGGTGCGGCAAACCTTGAGATTATTGATGTGACGTTGGGCTACACGGATTTTGTGCCTGGAGAGCGCCCGGCGGAGGTGTCTGTTGTTAACGGTCGCATGCCAAAGAAGGTGCACATACTATGCACTCGATACCGCATGGCTCAGCAGGCAGAGCCTGTGGATGAGGAGAAGCAAGCGTTGGATGCGGTGCCTACAGATGATGCAGGCCTGCGACTTTGGCTGAACGATCTTTTTGCCAAAAAGGAGCTTTTGCTTTCGCAGTTTTACGCCAACAATCCGGTGGGGTTTGAGGCACACCAAGTTCGTGGCGTTTTTGGTGAGCATTGCGCAGTTTTCACGTACGACGAGGATGAGGAGGCTCTGCATCAGCCTGGCAGCACAAAATTCTTGCGGTTTGTACGTGATATGGGACTTTGGCGTAGTTTTGGTGTCATTTTGCTGTGGTTGCTGCCCGTGCTGTATTGGGTCTTCTTTGGCGGGCTGTACTCGTTCCTCGTGTACGGGCTGTTTGCAAACCTGTGTAGCTGGGTCACGCGCAACAGGGGCGGACTGAACGAGTGGTTGTTCATGCAACAACCTAGGACGGAGGCGACGAGGGAGAAGCGCGGACCCTCTAAGAGAGACTAACGTGAAAAGAAACGCTCCCCCGGCGCATGTTCAAGGGAAGAGCACCAACTAACACCAGTAAGGTGATTTTCATTGCGCTGCACACCCGCAACGCGTCGGCCTGGAGGCTCCTCCTTCATCTCCTCCTTCCCCAACAGAATGAAAACAATTGGGTGAGGAAGAAAAAAGTTAAATAAATAGATGAATTGTGCAGATCTGTTGCGTTACTTATTTTTATTTTTATTTCTGTGTCGGAAAAGGTGAGAAACGGATATTCTCATGGCGTTCATGTGTCTGTGTGTGTGTGTGTGTCGGTGCCGTATGTACTGTGGCTTTATGACGGCTTGTTTTAGTATTATTTTTGTTGTGCGGGAGGTTTTTTTTTTTGTTTCTTCCTGTCTCGTTTTATTTTGCTTCCTACTCCGCGTCTCGTGAGAGAGGTGATCCGTGCAGGGAAAGGCACACGCGCATATATATATATATATATATATACTAGGGAGAGGGAGAAGGTGGGTGGGAGAGAGACATCTGGTGAGTTAAGACGGTAGGAACAAACGGGACGTTATGTCCGTCTCCACGCGTTACGTGCCGCACTCGGAGCAGACAAAGACGCACTATGAGCGATTTCTGCGGGATCTGCGGCGTTGGCTGCCGCCCGGCCTCGATGACGAAATTGGCGAAATCGCCGAGGAAACGCTCTCCATTGTGTGTCGCGCAGGCAGCGGAGCCGCCGCGGGGGGCTCCACGCAGCAGCAGCTGTTGCGGAAACAACTCGAAGGACTCTTCGACACTCCGCTGAGTGCCGAGGCGCTGCATGAGGTGCTGCAGTACGGCCGACTGATTGACGACTTTGTCGTGGTGGAAGAGGCGGTGGAGACGGGGAGGAGTGAGCAAACCGCTAACGGAGTGGACCACCGCGCCGGTGACACCGCCGCCGCGTGGGGCAATGGACTGGGGGACTTGCTCATCATGCAGCAGGAGGAGGAGGAAGGCGACGCGGAGGACTCCTCTGACGTCGACGACAATGAGGCCAGGGTGGCCCGCGACAACCGACGGGAACTAATGAAGTTTGCCGCAGATGTGGAGGGGCTCACAGCCAACGACGACGAGGACGACGATGAGGACGCAATCGGGGACAACAATAACAGCGCTGGTCGGGTGCCACGCGTGACATTTGAGGAAGTCGCATGCAACCCCAACTACGTCCGTGACTCCCTGCGCCGGCTATTCCCCACACAAACGGTTGAGGAGTGTGACGTTCAGGCGGATCGTGTACTGCAGTATGCCGGGCAGCGGCAGGTCGATCAACTGACGCTTGAGACCCAACTCACTGCCTTCCTCGGCGGTTACGACGATGAGACGGTGATGGAATGGATTGCCACCGTCGCCGCCTCGCGTTGGGCGATTGTGTACGGCATGCAGTTTGCTGAGGGGCACAACCAGCAGGAGAAGCAAGCGGTTATGGATGCTATGAAAGCGCACGCAAAGCAGGACTGTCTTGTGGAGCGGTTGTATCAGAGTGTCACTGGCAAAGAGATAGGGCCCAAGGCCGACAACGATAACGAGGAGGGAGACATTGGCGAGCTGAAGCCGCTGCGGCGGGTGGATTTGGAAGCCTACGCGTTTAAAGATGAGAGCACGCCGCATCGTCTGACACGTGCGGTTGTGCCACAAGGCACACAGCGGGCGGTATTTGAAACACATGATGAGGTGATACTTCCGCCCACGGCGGCAGCCACAGGTGACTGCGCCTGCACACCTCTGAGTGCCTTTCCGGCGTGGGCGCAGGTGGCATTCCCGGGTATGACACAACTCAACCCCATGCAGACCAGAACCTTTGACTGCGCCTTTGGGAGTGATGAGAACATGTTGGTGTGTGCACCAACAGGGGCAGGAAAGACAAATGTAGCGATGATGGCAATGCTGCGAGCCATCAGTAATGCCATGACGCCTAGCGGAGCGATCAAACTGCGTGAACTGAAGGTGGTTTACGTGGCACCGATGAAGGCATTGGTGCAGGAGGTGGTACGCACCTTCTCTAAACGCCTTGACCCACTTGGACTAACCGTCATGGAACTCTCCGGGGACTCCAATGCGAACCAAACTCAACTGAACGATGCGCAGCTTATCGTGACAACGCCCGAGAAGTGGGACGTGGTGACGCGGAAGTCAATTGAGCTGGGCGTGGCGGCACTGCTGAAGCTGCTCATTCTGGATGAGGTTCACTTGCTCCACAACGAGCGTGGACCGGTATTGGAAGCGATTGTGGCAAGAACTATGGAGCAGCAACAACTCCGTGGTGAGGCGGGTATTCGTATTGTGGGGCTAAGCGCCACCTTGCCCAATCACGCGGATGTTGCGAGTTTTCTACAGGTTGACCGACAGCGGGGCTTGTTTGTGTTTAACAGCTCCTTCCGGCCAATTCCGCTGCAGCAGACTTTTTGTGCCATCAAGAAGGTGCGTGGGACGAACCAGGTGGCGGTGATGAACCTGGTTGCGTACGACAAGCTACTGCAGGCGGCGATGAACGGGGAGCAGACGATGGTGTTTGTGCATTCCCGCAAGGACACCGAGTACACTGCCATGTACATGATACGGCGGATGGTGGAGGACAAACGGACGCAGTACTTTGTACGCTCAGGCAGTGAGTCGGAGCAGCTGCTACGTGAGGCGGCAGGTAACCCCTCGCTGCCGCTTCGACCGAGCCTGCAGCAAATGCTTCCAATGGGCTTCGCCGTGCACCACGCCGGAATGAGCCGTGAGGAGCGCGAGGTTGTAGAGACGCTCTTTGCCGATCGGCACGTGCGAGTGTTGGTTTGTACCTCAACCCTTGCCTGGGGTGTTAACCTGCCTGCGAACCAGGTGATCATCAAAGGAACCCGCATTTTTAACGGTGCGAGGGGGGAGACAGAACTACTCAGTGCGTTGGATGTTCTACAGATGTTTGGCCGTGCTGGTCGTCTGGGATTTGGCTCATCGCTGGGAAGGGCCGCCGTCATCACGAATGCTGACGACCTGCACTACTACCTGAGCGTGCTAAACGACCAGCTTCCCATTGAGTCACAGATGATGCGGCGGTTAATTGACATGCTCAACGCGGAGGTGGTGCTTGGCCATGTGGGCAGCGTCGCGGAAGGGGTGCGGTGGCTGCAACGAACATATTTGTACGTTCGAATGCAGCGTTCACCGGAACTATATGGAGCACGGGCCAGCAATGCCGACCCACTTTTCCTGCGCCATCTGGAGAGGATTGTGCACACTGCAGCAGATGACCTTCGGCGCTGTCAACTGGTCGACTACGACGCACACGCCCGGCGCATCTCCCCCAGGCCGTACGGCCGAATTGCATCCTTTTACTACATCACAGCCGCCTCCATGACCACCTACCTCACGCACCTCGGGAGCACGATGCACGATGTTGACTTGTTTCGTCTTTTTGCCATGTCAAAGGAGTTTGCACACATTTTGGTGCGCCCCGAGGAGCAGGCACAGCTGCAGTATTTGTTGGAAAATGCCCCCATCGCCGTTCGGGAAAGTCGCTACACCCCCTTGGCGAAAATTAACATACTTCTGCAGTGCTACATCAGTGGTATGCATTTGCAGGGCCTACCGTTGATGAGCGAGCTTGTCTATGTGAAGGACTCTGCCCAACGTATCTTCCGTGCTTTGCACGAGATCTGCCTGGTGCGTGAGTACGGCCGCACTGCGCGTCAGGTGCTACACCTTTGTCTCATGGTGGCACATCAACAGTGGATGGTGCAGTCTCCTGTGCGACAGCTGCGTCACACCGTCACCCCAAAGAACTTTGCTTCCTTCATTCACACACTAGAGAGTCGTCGTGTTTCGTGGGAGGAGGTGCGGACGTGGTCACGTGAGGATCTCGCCGAGAAGCTGAGCGACGAGCGCCGCGCTGAGTTGGCGTACGAATGCATTCATCAAGTACCACACTTTATGTTGGAGGCGGCCGTGCGACCTCTCACTCGTAACATGTTGTACGTCGACGTTGACATCACACCAGACTTCACCTACAACGAGGAATTGCACAGTCAGACGGCCGGGGACCTCCTCCTCACGGTTGAGCACACCAATGGCCGCATCCTTCACCATGAGCGATTACACTTGATGAGGGAGACTCTTCGTGACAGCGAACCATTTTCCGCTCCAACGATTGTGGTGCCCATTGTTGAGCCGAAGCCGACGCACTACTTCGTACGCTGCCAGTCGTTGTACTGGCTTGGGGCGGAGTGCTCCGTCGCCGTATGTCTGATGAACGTGCGACTACCCGAGATTGCCCCGCCGTTGCTGGAGATGCATCAACGTCCCTCCACCCTGGAAGATGAGACGATACGCGACGTCTCCGCGACGCTGCAACCGTACGGCTTAGAGGCTGCTGCAGAGAAGGTGTTCCCCTTCACCGAGTTCTTCCCAGCGCAGCGGGACCTCGTGGTACCTGTTATGGAGCACCCCACAGAGAACGTCTTCGCAGCGCTACCGCCCGGCGGTGGTAAGACGGCCATTGCAGAGCTCTTTATCTTGCAATTTTTGCTGGAAGGGGCTTTGTTAGAGACACAGCTTGAGGCCTGCGAGGAGGCGCCTGTGGTGAACAGTGCCGTGCCCGCAGCGGAGCGACAACTTTTGTACCTCACAGCCCATGAAGCGTGTGCCACGCGCCGCTTTCAAGACTGGCGGTTTAAATTTGGTGAGGGTTTGCAACAGCGGGTGACAAAGTTAGAACCTTTTGGGGAGGAGACATCGGCAAAGGTGGAAAAGTTCCGTCAGGCTACTATTATTATTGCAAGTGGTAGCGGTTTGGCCCCGTTGATACGTCGAGGGGCGGCGGATTGCCTTGCAGGCGTTACCCACATCATTCTCGATCACGTGCATCTTATTCGTGCGCCGGAGGGACGTTGGATGGAGGAATGCCTGGCACGATTGCTTTCCAAGCCGTACTTGGTGAACAATGGACAAAAGCCGGCTCGTCTCCTTGCCCTCTCGTACCCACTGATCAGCTGCACTGAGGTGTCGCGGTGGATGAAGATACCGGCATCGCGGCAGCACAACTACGGCAATTCATACCGTCAAATACGTGTACGTTTAGAGGCTTTGGAGCAGGGAGGGGCCCGCAGTCGATATGAGGCAGCCACCGTTTCTGCATTGAAGGAGCTACAGAAAGTGCGCTATGCATCGACACCAAATGTGGTGTTTGTTCCCACCGCGCGAGAGGCCGAGGAGCTTGCCAAACGCATCGTCCTCCGCTGCCGAGACTTTATCCCCAATGCGGGCTGTGAAGATGTGGAAGATCAAGCGCTCGCGCTGCTGCTCTCAGCTGGTGTGGCCTACATGCACCGGGGGACAAGCCTCTTGGATGAGTTGATTATCATAAGCCAGGTAGAGAAGCCAGTGCGACACCCGGAAACAGAGGCGGTACTTCCGTTAGTGCTTGTCTGTACGTTTGAGGCGGCGTGGCGGTTGCCGGCTGCATTGTTCGGGACGGCATTTGTCTGCGCTGCAGAGCGTTTTGGTGCTGCCAGCACCGACGTCAATGCGTCTGGTGGCGACTGCGCGGTGTCTGAACTTCTCCAAATGACTTCTCGGGCGCTCAATGAGGGGGTTGTTTACTGCCGCGCTGCACGGCGTTGGGTGTGGAGCAAGCTACTGAATGACCCACTCCCACTAGAGTCGTATCTACGATATCCAGACGACTTCCGTGATACCCTTAACGCTGCTGTGGCACAGGGGCGAGCTAGTGACATGCCAGGCGTTTTACGCATTCTCCAGAGTCACTACTTTTTGTACCACTTACGCACAAACCTGCATTTCTACGGTGTGCCCACGAAGGACGATATCCCGGCGTATGCCTCGGAGTTTGCTCGGTCGGTTATTGCCTCCCTACAACAGGTGGGTTGCGTTTCTGTGACGGAGGGTGATGAGGATGTGACGGTGACGGTTTGCCCAACAGCGCGAGGCATTGCGGTGTCGCATCACGGTATCTCGGTAGAAACAATTGAGGCCATTGAGGAGGTAGCCTCAAGCACGCGTGCCGCTACTGTGGCTGACGTGTGGCGGCTGATTGCTTCCACTTGTCGTGAGTTGACACCAGAGTACGTGGGTGACGCTGCCCGCATCACAGATGCTGCTGAGATGCAGGCTTTGCAGATAATCGCACGGGTGTTTCCCAAAGGGTATGACATACAGTACGTTGACTTGGACTTTGGCAAGGGCTGGACGAAGGTCCAACTGCTTGTCCTTGCACACTGTGCTCGGATGTTTGTAGATGAGGCTTGTATAACTACAGAGGACGAGGATGATAAACGAATAATGGCCGCAAAGCACCCCTTCGCTTCGCCATCGACGGCGGCTATTGACCCGCAGCTGCTTCTTGACATCCCCAGAGTTGTGGCAGAACGGTTGCGGGAGGACCTCTACGGCCTTCTGCCGTCCGTGCTGAATGTGGTACGAGGTGCGTGTGAAATATTTGACGCCAGGACTCAATGGCGGCAGGCACGTTATTTGATGCGTCTCTCCGCCCAGATCGAGCGACGCACCTGGGGATTTGAAGACCCGTTATTGCAACTCTCCTGTGTGCAGAACTCAATGGCACTACGCGAGGTGCTGATGGCTGCAGGAACGGCGGAGGCGTCATGGTCTCTTGTGCGCTTGCAGGAGCTTTGTGCCCAACCTGAGACGCCAGAAGCGGAACTTGCATGGAAGACACTCTCACACACGTTGGTGACAGCGTTGCAGCGGCGTGGCCTCGTAACGAATGCGGCAACTGAAGCTGAAGTTCTTTTGGGGCGCCTGCGTGCCGAGGCCGCGGCGTTGCCGCGTGTCATCGCGCTCACGGCCACAGGAACCGTGGAAGAGGTGAATGGCGCGCACGTCTTCGTGGTGCAGGTGGAGGGGCGCATTGCATGCATGGTACCACCCTTGTCGTGGCCGTCGTCTTCGTCGCCTGCGGTGCATGACGGCGAGTCACTGGGTCCGTGGTGGATGCCGTGCGTTGTGCATCATCAGGGGCGGCCCGACGTGCCGGAGCGTCTGCTGGCGTTGCGTGTGGTGACACCAGTGAACGTGCCTGACGGCGCTGATGTGGCAGCAGAGGCCGAAACCAACAAGAGGAGTGAGGCTGTGCTAGCGGCAGCCGGCACAAAATTATCACCGCTTTGGCGTATTTCTGGCACACTGTCGTTTCCTCTGCATGACGTGGATGGGGAGGACTTGGAGACGCTGAAGATGACGGTGGCGGTGATCGCGGCGCGTTACGTCGCGGACGCGGAGGTGGACGTCGTCTTCACCGCCGAGTGAAGCAGCGCTGCGGTGGAGACCACATCGCCCGTTCTTCTGCGCCTGCACCGCTCCTCTGCTTTTGCACATGGTGGTGGTGGTACTGCTGCGCGAGGTGGTGGCTGAGGAAGTGCCAGGGCAAAAATGAGAGAAACAAGTAATAATAATACTACTGATAATTACAGTGCCAAGGGGCGTGGGTTACTGCGGAGATGGGAGGGCCTAGGGTGCGCCGGAAGGAACCCTGCGGGGGAGCGTACGGCCAACGAAAAAACAGACAGTCCGGGAAATCGTCTAGGAAAGAGGGAGGGCAAGCCTGACGTGGTGTACTCATGGAACCAACAGAGAAGAGTTACGGAGGCGGAGGGTGATTGGCAAGAGCGAGAGAGAGAGAGAAAGAAACGGAAGTAACGGCAAAGCGGGCCGGAGGTTGAGGGCGGAGGGCCTTAGGCGGTGTGGCATACATGGCGCACACGCACGCCCAGGGAACGACGGGAGGGAGAGTACGACGCCCTCTTCTTCTTCTTCGGCTTCTCCTGCTTGGCTGCTTTGGAACACGCACCCGGCCAAGACAACCACCCTCATCGGCGGGTGCGGCGCGGGTGTCTTGTTGCTGCCCACTTTTGTTGTTGTTTTCTTCTTACCGCTCTTTTTGTGTTATTTTTCGCTCTACGTGCCGTCCATTGCCTCACTGCCAAAAAGCATGTGTGTTCTCATGATGCTTATCATCTCCGCTGCCTTTCACTCTCCCTCTCTCTCCCTCTCTTTCACTCTCTTCTTGTGGTTGCTGTGATTGTACCCGCAACGATCTGTTTCTTTTCCCGAGCGGAGGAGCATATGCTACGGAGGTGGGGGAAATAAAAGAAAACAGCAACGTCCCCACCCTTGCATAAGTACGGTGTTGTTAAGCAGCAGACAGCGAATGGGGAGAGAGGCAGACAATGAATAAGAGAAAAAAACAACAACAACAAACGGGGGAGCGCCGTCGTCAGTGAAGGTGCCGCAAACTTGTAGGAGCACAATTCCGTTCATTGCGGGGGTCTTTTGCGCCTACCCCGCCCTCTTTTTTATTTTTGTTTCTGCTACTCCTGAGGTGGGGAGAGAGACGAGAGGATGACACTGGTGCACATTTGCGAAGAATCATTGGAGCCACGCTCGCACCCCTTTTGCCCCTCCCCCTGTTTTTTTCTTTCTTTTCTACCTCTCGTCTCGTGTGCCACATCACGGCCTTACCAGTGGGCGTACAGACATATATAGATGGAGTGTGTGACTTGCAGCAAAAGCTGTCGTAATGATTTTGGTCTGTTTCCAGTACCCTGTTCCGCATCCACGGCAGGGGGGTTCCGTTGCTGTTCTCATGACTGTCAACGCCGGCGTCCAACAGCAGCCGCCGGAGAGCGTCTTGACGTTGGGCGGACTTGAGGGCGATGCATTACGCTGCTGTGTATTTTGTCAATGACGCAGAAGACAATACACCTTTTCTCGAGCAAGAGCCTGTCGCAGCAACTCCAAAGCACGGCAGTGCGTTGTGTTCGCCGGAGTGGCGCCAGTTACGGGGGCTCGCTTTCGAGATTACAGCCTATAGAGGCTGTCGTCGATAGAAACAGAGGTGCGGATAGTGGTAGAATGGGAATCATGGTGATGCATTCATAAGAGATTTTGGCGTTGAGCAACGCGTTGGAGATGTTCCCAGAGCATGCGTAGGAGGTGGCTGTCGCTGCACAGGGTGAACGTGGACTGATACTGGCTATTCTTTGCAGCGAGGTTGATTATCGTGCGTTGCAGGGCGAGTCATCACTGCCGTCAGCTCAGCGCTCACGAAGAGGCAGCTTTTGTGGCAGTGAATCTTCGCCGCGGCTGCAGTACGGCTTAAAGCGGGCGATGCGGGAAATCATAAAGCTCTTGAGCATGAGCACTTGCCTCTATCAAAGGAGGGAGACGTGATTCAGGTGCTCGACGCCAGCGATGGAGACGCCCAGGAGGCGCTCTCTGTGGTCAAGGTGATATTTGGGGAGGTAAGCGGCAGCTCTGCCCAGGAGGCGGTGCAGCTTGCTGAAAGTATGTCGGGGGCAGGCGGTGAAGAACCTTCAGACGTACATGAACCTCCTCAGCAGATTGCTGGAGGACACATGTGCCGAGGTGCTTCACACGGAGTTTCCAGAACCACCTCCCATGCGGGACATAGAGGGCACTCTAAGGCTCACCGACGGAGACTTGACGCGGACTCAACTGTATCTTGAGTGCGTGTCCGCACAGAGGGTGAACCGAGGGCACCTTGGAGCGGCCATTGGGTCAGCGGAACAGAAGATTGATAGATACATGGGCCACTGATAATCGAGGCGGCTCTCCTCCGCTGTCAGCATCGCCAACCCACTATATTGCAGATCATCCGACCTCGTTTTTTGCGCTTGCAGGGAGAGGTGGGCCGTCTGGTGAGGCAACGGTTCCACTTAGTCGCGTGGCATCCACGCCGTGCCCACCAGCGAGCCTACTTCCAAGGGTCGAAACCATTTCCCGTGTGACGCAACAAAACGCACCTGAGAGTGATGGGGTAGCAGCGGGGTCACGGTCGACATCTGCAGAAGTGTTCAAAATGATGCCGCAGGTTGCAGGAGCTCCATTGATGGAGAAGCGAACAAGAGATGGTGGCGTGCACGTCCTGAACAGTTCAGTGGACAAAATGGAAGATGACACGCTGTCGCTGCGGAGCGCCGCTGCAATTGAATGCGCATTTCGTGCGTCTAAAGAGCGCAAAGAGCCTGAAAACAGGGCGTTTAGTTCTTGCTGGGTTTGCCTTACCCCAGAACCCATTGCCATTGCCTCCATCAGACACTACAGCAACGTCTGGGCTGTTCGCACCAGCTTGACTTTCACTACCGCTACCACTACCGCCACCGCCGCCAATGACCAAATAAGAGGCCGCAGAGCTTGGTTTTTGCACGTACGGTTCCCATTGAGACCAAAAGAAATGTTCCGAATAAATCCGAGTTTAAATCAAATCATATGATTGAGCTCCTCGATGAGTACCGTAAGGAACTGATGAAAAGTGTCAAGCGGACTGAGACGAAGTCCGATGAAAAAGGCTCAATGGGTAATAGAGGTTTTTTTAGAGCCTAACTGTGAGCGGAACGTGGGCATTATACTTCAATTCCTGCGGATTCCCATACATACGGATGAAGCAAGCGTGCGCACGTTTGATGAACTGACCCTTGGCGAGGAAGACATCTCTGGTCTCGCCAAAATTATGTCTGAAGTCGAGGATATACGGGCCATTAACGGATGGATGAAGCGTAATTCAAAGGCGAGCACCACGCGGCCTCCTCAGATGTGTGTCCCCGTACGCTTCTTTATGATGGGGATGAAGATTAGGTTCTATGTCGAGTGCCTGCAATGTTGGAATTTAAAGAATGAATTCGAGGGGCGCATTGACGACCTTAAGGCGAAGATTCACCGTACGACAGAGCCGCCGCACCTACCTTGCATGTTGCAGTTTGTCCTTGCCATCAGCAACGTGCTAAACACCGGCAGTCAGCTTCAGGGGGCAAAAGGGTTTCGTACCACGCAACTGGCACAAATCATTGACTTTCAAACAACAAACGGCAGGTGTGTCCTCTTGAATCACTTGAGATCATCCATCAGTAGGACCCTGCTGTGCACCACTGCACAGAGAAACTGTTGCCGGCGGTGGATCATGCATCCACCTTTGATGTTCCAGGCGTCGCTGGTGAGCTGAAACCCCTGAGTGCTTGCCGACAAAAAAAAGTGTGCGCCGCTCGCTCGTGCGATTTCAGACGGCACGCCGTGGACGACGAGGCTTTGGAAGTTCATCTGCACCGCCTTTCCAGCACTGGAGCGTGCCGAGCAGCTGATAGGTGAGTTGACGGCGAAGATTGAGCTGATGCAGTTACGCTTCTGTTAGAATCCTGCGTTATTTCAGATGAATGACGCGCTGCGGTGCCGGGTAAACCTTGCAAAGATGTACAAGATTGAGCGAGACCAATTGCTGGCGCGAAACGAACTACCGTCGAAGGCGCAGACACCCGCTGCAAGGCATCTGCCGACTGCCAAGCATGAACACGATGTGAGGGACACTGCCAAGGTGTCCCATGGGGATCACCGCTTGCCGCGAGCTTGCGAAGCAAAGATACAAAGACAACACAATGGGTAGCCGTCTCCGCGCAGGCATCCCTCACGCCTGCGCAGAGGAAGGAGAAGGGTTTAGTGAACCACACCCAGAGAGCTGGAAATCGGGCTGAACGTCTTGAAAATGCATTCCACGGCGTCTCCAGCAATGGCGGTAGTGCTCGTGAGCCCCACACAGTAATTTCCCCTGTTTTTTTTCTTTTTGCAGCTCTTTTTCTCTCCTTCTCCAACACATACACACACACACGCACACCTTTGACATGTATACATCTTTCTGTTGACATTTCTATGTTTTTTTTTCTTTTCTTTTGCCATGAGACCTTTATTTGGAGTACAATTATGTCTGTGCGTGTGCTGGGTATCAGCTTTGCTCTGCTTAATAGCTCTTCCTCACGTTTCTTTTCCCTTGTGCTATCCTGCTGCGTAGTATATACATATTTGTTTTTCTCTCTGTGTGCGTGTGTCTGTGTGTGCCCTTGCCTGTCTGGGCGTCTGTATTGTACCTGCTGCTCTTGTTGGTTTTGTTGCTCCTGGTGTCTTCGCATGACGCTAGTGCCAGTTGGCTGCTCCGCTTTCACGCCGCCTTGTACGCGAACTTTCCTCTTACTGCACCATGAGCCTTCCTTTTTGTCGCGCCCTCGGTGCTCCGTTTCTACATGATCGCTTTGCACACATACACACACATGCATACATACAGTGTGTGAGAGAGAGAAGCATACAAGGAGACAGTGTGCCGGCAGCAGTATTGCAATAGACAATGCGGGTGCGGACGAGGCGGGAGGGAGTGGATGGCAGCTTCACGGTCGCTGAGGCACGCGGCGATCTTACGCGTGTCTGTGTGACCCTGCGAGAGGCAGGGGGTACGGCGCCCTGCGTGGAGGCATTTGACTCGATCCAGTACAATGTGCGCGTTGGCTCCCGCACCGCATTTCTTTTGCGCGGCGTCGCACCGTGGCATGGACGACCTCCCGTCAGCGGCAAAACGCTTGAAGGAAACGCCAGCACCACCACCACGAGTTGTGCCCATGCCAGTGATGACGTGGCGATTGCGCGTGGCACTTCACGTTACGGCGGTGGTGTGGACACGATGCCAGCGGCAGGGGCGGAGGTGTTTGCTGCCCATGCACGCGCCGCCGACGAGGTGGATCGCCACGACGCGCTCGTTGAGCTCTCGCAACGCATTGGAGGAGGGGTTTGCGGACACTCACAACACCGACGGCCGTGGCCGCTCCCTTCTGACACCGCAGGTGGCTCGAGAGCTTCTCGCGCGCTGGCTGATGCAGAGCCTAAATGAAACGACGGAGGCGCGGGCGAGCCGCGACACCGTGACGCTTCTGGACCACGGCGCGCCTGTTCGCCTCCGCCACGGCGACACCACACCGTACACCGTGGTGGAAGTGTCGGAAATGGCTGGTGGGCAGTACTGGGTTGACGTTGTAGCGGCCGCGTCAACAGCGGGGGACCGCAGGCGCGTGGACCGCGACGACGTCGTCCTGCATCCGCCGAAGCCTGTGTACTTTGATCCGTTGCTTCCTGCCGACGAGCTCAACAGCCCCCGCGGCACATCAACATGTCTTTTCCTCGCGTCCACGCTCGCGTTGCGAGGGAGGCGTCTCCCACACGATAATGCAATGACAGTCGTGGGCGGCATGCAGGGCTTTCCAAGGAAAGTGTCGGTCCGCATGGGCCACTGCGCATGCGAGCTTAGAAAAAGGCTGAGAGTGCGGTGTCTGGCACGACGCTCCGGCGTTGATGCGCCGGACATGACGCCGTCGCGACGGCTGGAGTTGCAAATGATGCACGACTGTGTGACGCTGCGCTACGCGGGCCGGACGATTGAGGTACTTCAGCGAACGCTCGAGCGGTTGTCGCTGCTGTGGGACGCACGCCTGGAAAGAGAGCGAGGCTGCAATGAAGTCAATGGAGGCTGTGCGGCGTCAGCACGAGAGTTGTGGCAGTGCGTCGTGACGCAGCAGGCGACGGCGGCCAATGGATCGCATACGTTCGTGACATCGGAGCCCTTTTTCATTTCTGCCTTCACCATGCTGCTGCGGTACCGCTCGCTGCTTGGGGACATGGGCTACAATCAAGGCCCACACGCCGCTGTCCCGCCTTCTGTCATGCGGGAGCTGCATGACGCCTTTGACGTACGCTGTGAGGCCTTCGCCAGCCCCATTAATGCACAACTCCCGCTCTTCGGTTCTCTCTTTCCTGACACAGATTACTGCTTTGGCAGCCTTGGCTCTTTTTTTGACCTCAAACTCATCGCCGGCCACTATGAAATGAACCCGCCGTTTGTCACCGCCGTGCTGCAGCGCCTAGAAACATTCCTGCTGCACGACGTGCTCGCGTGTCACGACGGTGCAGCTGACTCCTCGTTGCTGTTTGTTGTTGTGTTGCCGTCACACGACTTGGATGCGGCGGAGGCGGAGGAGAAGGTGACTCAGGTCGCTCCAACTTCGCTGCAGCAGCGACACACGACGAAGAGTAAACTTTGCAGGAGTAACAACAATAACACTTATGATGAGGGTTGTGATGGCGGCGGCGGTGGTGAGGGCAGGGAAAGGTGGAAGCGCCCAGGAAGTGCCAAGGAACGGGTGAGCACGGAACGGGTTCTGCGGGAGAGTTCGTTCTGCTTGGCCCACACCCTCTGCGCCGCTGCTGAGTCCGCGTACGTGGATGGCCATCAGCACCTCCTGCGTGCACCACTGTTCTGCATAGGCACACCCACGCGACTGATTGTCTTGGGGAACAGTGCAGCCCGCCGCCGTTACGGCGATGCCGCCGAGAAACTCGCTACTGTGAAGGACACGTGGCGCCGTTACACTCTTGAGTCCAAGCTGGTCAGGGGCAGTGCGTGACGCGCCACTCTGCCTACACATCCCTTTGCTACTTCTCGCTCGCCATATATGTGTGTGCGCATGGAGGAAGAAGCGATTTCACCTCTATGTCATTCTTTTCTTTTGCTTTTGCCTCCCCCAAACTCTGCTTTCAGTGGCATGCGTGATGCCTTTTTTTTCTCTTTCTCTTCTCTACTGTGTCTCTCTCCATTACACACGCACATTCACGCACTTCCTCTTTTTTTTTTTTCCTTTTGTCAGCAACACCTACACGCGGAGGCAAGTGCCACTAGAGCTGGGAGGAAGGGAGTGTGGGTGTCCAGCGTTAGCAGAACGGAGAAAACAGGCAAGCAAACAAACGCACCCGAAGAGAGAGAGAAAAAAAAAAGAAGACAGGGTGACCACAACAGGGGAAGGAGAGACGCTGCAGCTGACGCCACCAACGGCGGATATTCTCACCACACTTTTGCGGCTGTGAAACAAAGAAGTAACACTCACTTAACGGCAGCAATAAGGAGCAGAGCTCTGTGAGTCGCGGCAGAGGGAGACTGGTACCCTTTTCTCTCTAATATCGGGTTATTCACGCACCCACAGCACTACACAACTGCGTAAAAATAAACAGAAGGGAACGAAACAAGACACCAACCAAGGAAACTGAAGTACAGCAGCAAGCAGCAACAACAGCAACAACAGTGGTGGTGGCAGTAGAGGGAGGTCGGCGCCTTTTCCTTTTTTGCCCCGTTGAAGGACAATGAAGACGCATCTGTCGCATGTCCCCGTGAACCGCCCTGAGGTTACGCCCAAGGAGCGGCTTATGGCCCGATTTATCGCCCAGCTGAGGAGGCGGTTGGCGGAGTCCACAACCCTGGATGAGTTCCGGGCGTGGGTGGGCGAGCATGCTGAGGCGCTGGAGGCCTCGGTGTTGGAGGCGAGGCCGCGCCAGCGTGTGGATACGTTCCAGGATATTTTTGCCACCCCAACCACGCCGGGGTCGATTTCCGAGAACGGAGACGAAGGCATTGAGAGTGCGACGTACTGGGGCTATGGGGAGCAGGGCAACACGTTCGCCTCATACCCCTCGTTGACAGAGTTGGTCTGCGTGGATAGCCCAAGCAGCAATGCGAAAACATACAAAAATTCCTCACGAATGACAGTCGCCTCCGAATTCACTCCAGTAGCCTCACTGAAGCGTGAAAAAAGTCTGTTGATGCACTCAGCCGGAAGTATCAATTATTGCGAAGATACCAAGACTGACAAGGATGTCACATCGGTTCTGCAACTCTCATCGCTATGGGCGCCCAGTGTGTTCCAGCGTGGTGCTTCAAAGCTGCCGGGCCGTGGCAAACAAGGCCGTGATTGCGAAACAAATCCGCTGGAGTCCGGCGACAGCTGTGGCAGCATCAACCAGTCGTTCTCACTGCTGGCGGAAAGCATCTATAGCTCAGCGGGTATGACCCATCGCCCAGGAGCACCACCACTTCCGAAAGACATGTCTATCCTTGATTTGAGCAATCAAGGTGAACTTGGTGAGGGAATGCCGGCGTTTTCGCTTGATGGGCGATTTCCAAATCAAGGGCCAATTTTTTCCCGTTCTAATTCGCGGCATTCTCCTGTGCTACGTCCTGTTGCGCAGGTGCGGGAGGCGCTTCGTACCCTTGGCGTCCCATTTCTAGAGAATGTGGAATCCTCGAATGTGGACGTCCTTCAATATGAGGAAATTTACGGTGTTAACGCCTACGTGTACACATGTCTTAATATTCTCCTCCGGTACAACTTTTCAGTGCAATTGGGCTTTCATCTGGGACGTCTTCTTTGCTACTACAACACTGCCGCCAAGTACATTTTTTGGAGGAATCCATTTCATAGTATATGCCATGCGACAGATATTGTTTTAGCGGCCCATCAGTTTTTACAGCAGCCCTATGTGGCGGAGAATTTCAGTGACGAGGAACTGTTTAGCTTTCTCTTTGCCTCAACCGTGATGAAGCTTGGTCACGTGGGGATGAGCAACGCATTTTTGATTAGCATCCACCACCCGTATGCTGCCTTTCACGGATTTCTCTCTCCGCAGCAGAGCATCAGTATTGCGTTGGGGTTTGCCTTATTAGATGCCCCGGAGTGCCATTTTCCAACCTTCGCCGCTGCACAGGAGGGAACAGACAATTATATGCCGTCGCTGTGGACGCCTGCCAAGGAGATAGAGTTTCAGGAAATGACATCTCGACTCATTATTCCCACGGATGAACGGGATCACCAGATGCTGCTTACTCAATTACAACAAGTCCTGCAGGAGGGCGCAGGGAATGTTGTGCGTGAGAGTCACTTGATGATTATTTTGCAGAATGTTTTGCATGCCGCTGACTTTTGTTATGTGTTTCGTTCCCCGCCTGTGTACCGAGCTACCGCCGCCCGTGCAGTGGCAGAGATTTACCAACAAGAGCAAACCCGCCTTTGGTTTCAGGGGAATGGAGTAATACGTTGGCCCTGGCACGAAGTCAACTTCGGCACTGGTGAGGAAGGCTTGACCCCACAAACAAACAACAATACATTGGAGGGAAGCCCGATTTCTATTGAGGACACCTTAATATTTAAAAACGATTCTCATCAGATGAAGGCGCCACTGAGTTCCTTTGATGTGCCCGGCGGCATCACCTTCAGTGATGCGTCCATAAAGTCTTCGGCAGGCTCTTTCTGTGGGGTGTCGGGCTTTTCTTCACTCTATCATGCGAAGGTGTTGCAGCTGACGGTGCTGGAGGCGGTGTTTTTGCCGTTCATATTTACTCTTTCGCCATTTGTGCCGGACTACTGGTTGACAAATGCGCAGAGTAACTTGGTGTGGCTCGACGACTTCCATCCTGACGTCTTCGAGGCCGATGTGATGAGGGTACTACGCAATCCTGAGTTTGGGGGACCTCGGTTGCGGTCAGCGGGCCCCTGCGGGTTTGAGCGTCGGGTGGTGCGACGCATTCTGGACCCACTCTTTCGTCATCGCAAAGAGGAATTGAAGAAGTGGACGGGGAGCTGAGAGGGGGCGGCTCCACCGGGGCATATTAGACGGCGAAGTGAAGGAGCGCAGATGGGCTGAGAAAACCGCAGGGGAGGGCCACACGCCTGCACGTGAATGTAGACAAATATTGACGTACGTACACACACATTTGTGTTTTTTATGTGTGCATGTGTTATCGTAAATGGAAGTTTGATGAGCTGAGGAGGCATGAATAAAATGTGAGAAAAACGGACCCTCAACTCCTAAGAAAGAACGAAAAAATTAATGGAAACGGAAACGCAACAACAAGCAGGAAAAAAAAAAGAAAAAAACAAAACACAAACCCCCCCCCCCCCCCACACACACAC